CATGCCCCCTATAGCAAAAACCTCTTCAAAAAAAAAAAAAGAAAAAAAAATAGTGTCATCATAGTGTTAACATTTTAAAGATGATGCTATCGATGATCAATGTACTCTTTATTGGAGCATTCATTCATTCAGTGAAACAGTCATAAATATAGTCCTTTATGTTTCAGGCACTTGCCATGTCTGGACGTAGAACTATGACCAAGATAGATGTGGTCTCTGTGCTCATAGAGTTTGCATTCTAATAAAAGAGAAAATAAACAAGTAAACAAAGAATAATTTCAGATTGTGATAAGTGCTATGAAGGAAATAAGGAATATAACCTAGAGCGGTAGGATGGCTTTAGCTAAGAGTAAGAATCTGGTAATTTGAGGTAAAATATATTCTTTTTCATGTTAGGAAGTATCTTTGTCATTGTGATTTATCACTTACAGAGTTTAAAAGTATCTTTTTTGTTTAAAAGCAATTGACTGAAGAGAATTCAAGAAAATATATAGAAAAGTTATTTGATATTAATTTTCTACCTTATAAATTTTAAATGGTAACTGCCCTGATTGTTTTTATTTTGTGTTATTAGAAAAGGGTTATCAGGAACTCTGGGAACATGTGTAGTTTGGGACAATAATAAAAGTCCTTTTTTTAACAGTTTTGAACCACACGTATTTTTCTGCTCACACTCCAACACCAAATTGGGATATGCTGATCTATACTGAATTTTCAGTAAGAGTTCAGAATAATACTTAAACATGTTAAACTTGCAGGGAAAATACTTGATTATTAGCATATTACCAGTTGGTGATTATTTGTGAATAGAGTCTACATACTGTTTTCCTTTGGAACATTATCAGGTTCTGAAGTAATTGTTGGAGTAAATAAGTACCAGTTGGAAAAAGAAGAGTCTGTAGAAGTTCTGGCAATTGATAATACTTCAGTGCGTAACAAGCAGATTGAAAAACTTAAGAAGGTATTAATAGCTTTTTTTTTTTTCTTGGGCATTTTTTGTGTTCTGGGTACTGGCTAAGCCCTCACATTGTCCTGCTTAAGGCTTATAACAACCATTTGAAGTGGGTGTTATTTTCCATTATTTTAAAGATAAGGAAACTAGAGATAAGTTGAGAAACTTGCTTGAGATAAACGATTAGATAGCCAGGATTCAATTTAGGTTTATTGAAACCAAAAACTAGTTTTTAACAAAAATAATATCTGCCTCTGAGAAACTTATATGTTATTAGAAACCACACTATAATAACAATAATAATAATACCTTCTAAATTTACAGATTAGAAATAAGGCTTAGCTGATTATATAATTCAAAGTTAAAAACCTAATAATCTTCAGAGCCAGTATTTGAACCTAGGACCTCTCCTTATAATTTCCTTCCACTGGGCTATAGTTCCTGATACTACTATGAAAGAATCCTTTACTTTCTGATTGTTTAAGTTAAGCTATATTTGGTAGTACTTTAATAAGCTGCAGTTTATAATGAACTTTATTTTGATTTAAACTGGAATGCTATCTCCTTTTTATTTTAAAATTTTCACTGAGATGATCCAAAGTATAAGAAATACTAAAATAGATACAATATGCTAATTCTCATTGTTACAAGCTACATATTTCTGTTGTATGATACTACCTTGAACTCCTAATTTTTGGCTTTTGTAAGTATTGCTATTTCCATAGCAGGAAACTTGAAATTTCTTAGTGGTTTTTCTCCATTCACTTCCTTTGTGATTAATATATGACTGTTTTATTTCTTTTATTTTAAAAAATTATGATAGAACACTCACTGAGAGAGATGGAAAGTAAGAAAGCACCCCCACGTGGGGATGGAGAAAGGATACCGTAATCCCTTCTTCTCCATTCCCCTCTCTGGATCTTGGACACACACACACACACACTGGCTTGGCATATTTTTCAAGTCACTTGGCCTAGGACTTGAACCACATAGTCAACCATATGAGATCTAGCCACCTTAATTATCATGCTGCTTGGCTGGCCAAGGTACATTTTTTTCCCCCTTTTAGTTACATACAAATCTAATAGACTATCTAGATAAATTGCATGTATCATTTCTATCATTTTCTTTTGTCTTTTTTTTAGGCATTTGCCATAGGGTACATACGCTCATTGGAGAGAAACAGAAAAAGAGGAGGGAAATGAAACATCATCCCATGGGGGCTGGCCACACTGCAGTCCCTTCTCCTCCATTCTTCTCTTGGGATTTGGGGCACACATGCACATGTGACTGGCGTGGTTTCCAAGCCACCGGGGCTGGCACTCGAACTAGGGAGTCGGCCATGTGGGGTCTAGCTGCCTTATTCACCATGCCACCTGCTGGACCCATTTTGTTTTTTTTAAAAAGGCCCTTATCCACCAGGCCACCTGCTGGCCCCCATGTTGTTATTTTTTAAAAAGCCCCAGCATGAAACACATTATTTTTAGTCATCATAAAAGTCTCAGTATTATATTCTGAAAGCTTCTTTTTTCTTCTTTTACACTTTATATTCTTTAACTCTGTATCACAACTTGAGTTCCATTTACCACAAATAATGATAAACCTTATTTTGGGCAAGGGAGGAGAAATTCAGTAACATCAATATAGAAATAACAGTTAACATTTATTAACCATTTACCAAGTGTCACAGATGGGGCTAAGTACTTTTCTTGAATTATAGTTGTTTTTGTGTATTTTACTTAATGGGTACAATTTTTATTCCTATTTACCAATAAGAAAAATGACTGGAGCGTTTCACTTGCTCAGGGGTTCACTATAACTGGAGAGGCTGGAATTTGAGTGCAGGTTTCTTGACTCCAGTGCCAGTTTAGGAGAAATGGAGGTTCTGATATGATTTTTTTCCTATTTGAACCTAGAATCACTTCCTAGGACCATGACCAAGTCAGAATTCTTCTATTATAAAAATTATAATAGCTAAAATCAAGACATATTTTAATGGTGAAATCCATTTCTGCTGCAGTACTCTGAGCTCTTTTCAATACAAGTCTAAACTTTGTCTTCTCATGCTTCCCTTTTATAAATACCAATATTAATATTTTCACTTATATTTTAATTTTTTTCAAACTGAACTCCAACATTAATTTTATATTAAATTGTTTTTCTATAATCCTTGGCCCCAGCTAATTTTATCACATATTTTCACTTAATAAATTTTAATGATTTATTTATTATTCAGATAATTGAAACAAACCACCTAATCTAAAGATGGCTAACTTAGTTTTGTTTTGATTTTTAGATTTTTGCTATAGAGCACATATGCTCTCAAGAGAGAGGGAGGTACAATTTTTATTCCTATTTACCAATAAGAAAAATGACTGGAGCGTTTCACTTGCTCAGGGGTTCACTATAACTGGAGAGGCTGGAATTTGAGTGCAGGTTTCTTGACTCCAGTGCCAGTTTAGGAGAAATGGAGGTTCTGATATGATTTTTTTCCTATTTGAACCTAGAATCACTTCCTAGGACCATGACCAAGTCAGAATTCTTCTATTATAAAAATTATAATAGCTAAAATCAAGACATATTTTAATGGTGAAATCCATTTCTGCTGCAGTACTCTGAGCTCTTTTCAATACAAGTCTAAACTTTGTCTTCTCATGCTTCCCTTTTATAAATACCAATATTAATATTTTCACTTATATTTTAATTTTTTTCAAACTGAACTCCAACATTAATTTTATATTAAATTGTTTTTCTATAATCCTTGGCCCCAGCTAATTTTATCACATATTTTCACTTAATAAATTTTAATGATTTATTTATTATTCAGATAATTGAAACAAACCACCTAATCTAAAGATGGCTAACTTAGTTTTGTTTTGATTTTTAGATTTTTGCTATAGAGCACATATGCTCTCAAGAGAGAGGGAAAGTGAGAAATCACCTCCCAGTGGGAATGACAACTCTACAATCCCTTCTCCTCTAGTCTCCTTCTGGAATTCTAGGCATCCATGTACACACGCCGGGTGAGATTTTCAAGCCACCAGGTCTGGGACTCGAACCAAGGTTGGCCATGTGGGAGCCCAGCACTATTAACCACTATGCCACCTACTAGCCCAAGATGACAAGATTTTTTAATAACTCTGAAAAGTATATTTCTTAGGTCTTTTTTCAAATGTCACCTTATCCAGGAAGCTTACAGTGATCCAAATCTGTAATGTCTCTTGCTCCACTTTATTTAATCTTTAATTTTTCTGTTAACTTGCATATTTGTTTATATATTTTAGTCTTTCTCTCTCCAATTAAATATAAAGTCTGTGAAGGCATGGACTTTATTTTGTTTATTGCTACATCCCGGGACTAGGAAAAATTCTGGCATTAATAGGTACTTAATGAATATTTATCATCTATTTTAGTTTAATTAGAAAATGTCTATAAGTGATAATTATTGTCTATGTTGAATAGCTGGGAATTCTGTGTATTCAGGAATAGTCCTGAATTTTAAAACATAATTGCCTAATATGCATGTTAAGGATTGAATCCTTACACCATCTAGATGTTATTTTATCTGGACATGTAGGTCATATTTGTTGAGGCTCTTGTTTCCTAAAACCATTACTCTCCATATCCTTGTTTTATTATAATTTTTATAAAATTAAGATTTATTGAGTACCTATGCTATTCTAGGAATTGCCTTAGGTATATATTTTCTCATTTATTTTAAGAGCCATACTATTGTTTTCATAATCCCATTTGACAGGAGATTGAAAGAGCAAAATATTAAGTAACTTTCTTAAGTTTATTCAGCTAGCAAACGTCAAAACTGGAAATTGACTCCAGTTTGACTCCTGTGCCTCTGTTCTTAACCCCATAGTAGTGTCCTTCAACTTTTAACTATGACTCACAGTAAGAAATGCGTTTTATCTGCATGCCTACCTATATGTACATGTGGATTCACATGTATATGAGCACACACATAAGTGAAATAAAAGTCACAATGTAGTACTTACTAGACTGTGTGCCGTGCTCTTAGTCTTTATTCTATTTAAATTATTCAAAAATGATGATCACAATCTACTAATTCTATATTGTCATTCACTAATAGATTAGGATTTATAAATCCAGGGACCAGCAGATGACATAATGGTTGTGTCAGTGGACTCCAGTATGGCTGTCCGCAGTTCAAGATCCGGATCCACTGGCTTGAAACTCATGCCGGGTGCATGTGATCTGTGCCCAATCCTGAGAGGAGAATGGAGAAGGGATTGTGGTGTGGCCATCCTTTCTGGGGGGTGATTTCTAACTCTCTATCTCTCTGATGAGTGCATGTGCCCTATAGCAAAACTTCCTTCCCCAAAAAAGGATTTGCAATTCCATTAGCATTGCACGATGTTATAATACCTCCCACTAGATTTGAAACTTAGATCCCCCCCAAAATGTAGACAGGTCTTTAGAGTAAAGGAAATGGGTATTTTCATTGAAAATTTGAAGTTCAGTTTTCCATGCCCAAATAAAAATTTTCTGTCCCACTTGTTCTTATAGATGCTATAATTTAGTGGTATCTTGAGCAGCTCATATTTTAGAGTATTTACAGGGAGTGAGCTTATAAAAAATTGCATTTAGATAATTTTATTTTGACGAGTTGTTGGCAGAGTGGAATGGAGCTAAGACCTGGAGGAAAGTTTTTGGCTATGATTTTTATTTTTTCTCTCTCAGTCTGTGGCCTTGTGTTTCTTTCTCTCTTAGATTTATTTTTAAATGTGAAGAACAACAATATACATACTAGTATTACCAATGTATTATTAATTTTCTAAAGGAAACAAAACATAATTAAAATATTCTCTAAGTTCCGATCTGTTATATCTTTTTCTTTGTCACTATTAATCTTTGCTGTTTCTTTAAAATGCTTCATATTCAAGACCTACTTGTTTTCAATGTCCTATTACTTTAGAGAAGCCTATGTAGTTTATACTGTTTGGGAAGTCAGCACTATTTTTGTCCTGCTTGTTTTTTGTCAGGATGTCATTGAATTCAATATTATTTTAGGAATTCTTGAGTGATTAGATGACTGGAATTCCTAGGTCACATTTTATTATCTTTATTTGTTCCCCCCCCCCCATTTTTGAGATGGGATTATGGAATAATTTCCACATGGTCTGTATCAAGGTTTAATCTCCTGATCTGTGCTTTATTCTCTGTTCACACAAATTGTCCTTTCCTTGACCTTTGTTGTAAGGTCAAGTCCAGCAGGGATCAGGCTTTGGCTGAACGGTGTCTTGCTGCACTGACCGAATGTGCTGCCAGTGGGGATGGAAATATTCTGGCTCTTGCTGTGGATGCAGCTCGTGCAAGGTGAGAATATGTGCAATGGAGACTTCCAGGTGCAACACATTGATGAATTTAGCTTTTCAGAGTATTCTTAAATAAAACCTGGATCCTAGAAACCACGAGAGCCCCAGAGAAAATAATGGGAAAACCATAACAAATTAATTCTTGTTTCTTTTAAACATTTGTGCATATAAGACATTCATGTATTTTGAATAAAGTATTAACATTTGTTCATTTTACTAAGTCTCAGAACATTTGAATGTTTTATAATGAATCCATTTCACTGATTTGCAGATTGAAAGTTTTTGGGTCTTTTTTGGAGAGATTTTTGATATAGGGCACATACATTTGCCAAAGAGACAGAGACAGAGAGAGAGAAAGTGAGAAATTACTCCATAGGGGAATGGCCATGCCACAACCCTTCTCCTCTATTCTCCTCTCAGGATTTTGGACACCGTAGCAGTCATGCCTCACATGAGTTCCAAGTGACCAGGTTTGAGACAAACTGAGTTCGGCCACATGGGACTTAAAAAAATTTTTTTTGAGCGAGAGATTTTTGCTATAGGGTGCGTGCACTCACTGGAGAGACAGACAGAGACAGAGAGGCAGAAAGTGAGAAATCACCCCCCAGGAGCAATGGCCATGCTGCAATCTCTTCTCCTCTATTTTCCTCTCTGGATTTTGGGCATGCACACATGTGTGCCCAGCGTGAGTTTCAGGTCTCCAGTTCTAGTACTCTAAACACAGTTGGCCATGTGAGAGTCTAGTGACAACCATTACACCATCTGCTGATCCTGGCCATTTGGGAATTAACCACTACGCCACCTGCTGGACCCTGATTTTTTAGTTTTACTCTGAAGTATGTCATTGCGATTATCCCTACCATCTTGGTATTTTACTGGATAAAAGGGCCTAAGACACAGGGAGACATTTATCTGAGAACTGAGAGGAAAGCTTCTTGGTATGCTTTCCCTTTCAAATTGTTCTTCATTATAAAGTATCCAAAAGAGCAACCAACTCCTCCAACCCTCTTATTCCAGTCCTTCTTCCCTTGTATTTAGAGCCAGGTATTGTTTTAAAAGTAGAATACTTTTTAAAATAATTGGCAGCTTTTTATGTCTTGTTGACTTCCTGGCCTACTGCATTTGGTTTTCTGTTGTAATATGACTGGTCTTACCAGCAGTCTCCTCTTTGTCAGATACTGTGGAAATCTTTTAGTGCTTATTTTGGCTTTACTATAGTATTTAACATTACTGATCACTTGTTCCTTCTTTTACATTTTTTTTTCTCATTTGCCAGGGAGTGTGTGCAATTGCCAGAGACAGGGAGGAAGAGGGAGAAAGTACCCGCCATGGGACATGGCCACTTCACAGTCAGGGAGGAAGAGGGAGAAAGTACCCGCCATAGGACATGGCCACTTCACAGTCCTTCTCCTCCATCTCTCCCTCCTCTGGGGATTTTAGACATGCACACACATGTACCTGTGGTATTTGTCAAGCCACCAGGTCCGGGACTCCAGCAATACGGTTGGTCATGTGGGATTTAGCTCACTTAACCACCAGGCCATGGGTTGGCTCCAGTTTTTCCTTCTTGAAACCTTTTGCTTTTATAACCCTTCATGTCCTCCTTTATCCTCTACCCTTCCCCATCTTATATTTAAAAACAAGCTGAATAGAAAACAAGCCAATTCCATGTCACACTCGTTTCTGTGTTATTGTAGTCACAATCTGGCAAAGTGGAGTTTTCATACTTGCTTCCTAATGGGATTGCTATAATGATATACTAAATAATCAAAAATAGTGCCTAGAACAGAATGGTATTTAAGTAATTATGTCTTTATATTTGTCGTGGTATTTTAAAATTATTATGATATATAGGATAAATATATTATTCATATAGATTTATTATGTTAAAAGATGAAAAAGATCTTAGTTTTTACCCTTCTTGCAGGCTAACAAGTTATCCTGCTACAGTTTTGTGGGATTCTGATTGAAGATAGGGGATCCTTGGATCAAAACTAGATGTTAAGTTAGTTCTTGCAATAGCAGTAGCCAAAGTGTCAGCAGTTTTTGCAACTAATTCCTCTGAGCCCAGTGTCTGCAAAGCAATGTGAGAAAGGTCAAGTCTTACCTTACTTGCAGTGGGTTAGGTTATATCTCAGGAGAGGAAACCTCAGCTTATGGGATTTGAATCTTTTATGCAGAGTGAGTAAGGAACATGCCTACTTTATTCTGTGGGGATAAAATATTACATTGGACAGTAAGCAAACTTAGTCTTTGTTTTGGAGACAGACAGTATATTTTCCAAGGTTATTCACTATACAGGCATTTTTAATAAAGGTAGTCCAGAATAAAGGAATATTGGTTTTTCTTTCTAGGATATGCAGAAAAGTAAGTGACTCATGTAAACTTTTCTTCTAAATATGGGAATATCACTAAATAAACTGTTTTGGCATTCAAATGTTTGTCACTTATTATAATAAACTTAAAAAAGTACCAGAGGGCATGTACAGTTGCTAGAGATAAAGAGAGGAGAGAAAGAAAGCACTCCCCAGTGGTGTCTGGTCACACTGCAATCCCTTCTCCATTTTTCCATCCTGCTAGGATTTGGGGCATGCATACATATGTGCCTAACATGTTTTTCAAACCTTAAGGGCTGGGAGTTGAATTGCAGTTGACTATGTAGGATCTGGCTTTGCTTAACCATTAGGCTGTAGGTCCAGCCCTGTGAGGAGAGAAAGAAAGCACTCCCCAGTGGTGTCTGGTCACACTGCAATCCCTTCTCCATTTTTCCATCCTGCTAGGATTTGGGGCATGCATACATATGTGCCTAACATGTTTTTCAAACCTTAAGGGCTGGGAGTTGAATTGCAGTTGACTATGTAGGATCTGGCTTTGCTTAACCATTAGGCTGTAGTTCCAGCCCTGTGCTTTCCTTTTTCTTTTTCTTTTTTTTAATGCCATAGAACATGTACATGCACAGAGGGAGAAGGGGGGAGGAGGGAGGAAGAGAGTAAGAGAAAGGAGAGATAGCATCCCCCCACCCCCAGTAGAGCCTAGTTATGCCACAGTCTTTCTTCTTTCCCCTTCCATCCTTCATCCCATCAGGAGCCTAGGCAAATGCACTTGTTTTTCTTCAAGCTAATGGGAGTCAGAATTCCAACTATGATCAGCCAGCCATGTGGGACCTGGCTCTTCCCCCACATAGCTTAATCGCTGTGCTACAGGACCTGCCCTAAAATGAACTTTTTAAAACTTGTTTTAAATGTATGAGGGGTAAATAAAACATTATGTTTTCTTCTTTCAGTTTTAATATTATGAGTATAAATCAGATTTCTTTGCTTAAAATCCGACAGTACCCCTTTCCTTTTAGATTACTGTCATCCTACAACGACCTGCAGGGTGTGCTAGATGTGACTCTTGCCCATCTCTCTAATCTCATCTTATGCTTCTTTCCTGACTGTTATGTCTCTGGTGTTTTTGTTTATGGTTTTAGAACATAAAGCATATCTTCCTTTGTCTGAGAGCCTTTGCCTTTAGGGCTTCTATTTCGAACACTCTTCCTCTTTGTGTTCCCTTGGGTCCCTCATTATCATTTATGTCACAGTTCAAAAGTTCTATCTTTACATGGTCCATGTCCTCAAACTTACTCTTTCAGATCTCCCATTTCACTGTTGCTTGTTTTAGTGTCTTCATAGTACTTACATGGAAAAGTATTTATTAATTTATCTATTTGCTTCTGTATTGTTTATATTCCTAGTGACTGATGCGTTCTATCAGAGCAGGGCCCACTTTGGTCTTATTTATCACTATGGACCTATGTGCGTGCACGTGAGAGAGAGGAGGAGAGGGAGAGCGCGCGTAGGCCATGGTGGTCAATAAGAGGCTGGCACATAGTGTGCACGCCTTACTGTTGAGTGAATTAAAGAACAAACATGAAGTACGGTAAAAGATTTTCTTATCAGAAAATATCAGTGG